TTCTGCCACTATTATTGACAAAGAAAGTAGAGAAAAGACAGGAAATTAGTGAGAAATGGGATCAGGAGGTATCACTGGATTGATTCAAACCTGTATGACCCATATGAGCAACAAAATGCTACACTTAAGCACTAATGCTTCTAATGCTAGTGTCAGACTTTTGTACCTGTTTTGCCCCCGTAGTCCTTCCTGTGTCTCCTTATTTGGTTATGTTCCTGTCCTCGTTTAGTTTGATTATGTTCCATTGATGTCACCTGTGTTCCCCTGATTGCCCTGTGTTTATAAGTCCTAGTCTGTGCAGTTAGTGTTTGTCGGGTCTACCAGTGATGTACGTGTGTCTACCTCCTGTTCCCTATGTTGGATTTATCCCGTTTTGGATTAATAAAGACTCTTTCGATTATCCACGGCTCTGTGTTCCTTCCGGCAGCGTAACGTGACAGCTAGGGCCATTATTACATAGGAATCCTGTGAATCAGTTGTAAAAAGGTGACCAAATTTCAAAATAAATAATATTCATGCATTTCACCTATATAAAATAAAAGCAAAGCAAAAACTAAACTAAACTAAACAAAACTAAAACATGAAACAAAACTAAAACACAAAACAAAACTAAAAGAGAAGAAAGCAAAAACAAAAAACAAAACAAAAAACAAAATTAAACAAAAAACAAAACCGATCTACATCACAACTACAAATACTCTGCTGTTTATTTCCGTCAGAAGACTACTCTATCTTCATCTTCCTCCCTTGTCTGCTTTTCTCGCTTTGTTCCTGCTGGACATTGTACTATTGATCTGAACCTCAGAGTGGGGAGGGGAGGAGATTTATTCTCCTATTAGAGGCTTTTGCTATGTGATGGCTGTAGATTAAAGGTCTGCTGCTGCCCAGAGCAACACTGTTACACCGACCTATTCATTAAACAACTGAATATTAAGTTAAGTCAGGGTTAGGCCAGCTCGGGCTGACACTTACTGAGAAATGGAGCGGAGAGGAGAGAAAAGGCATGGGCAAAAATCACATCCCTTATTCTTCTGATGTGGAAACCACTGCACACACCCATGCACCCATATATATGCACTCTAGTGTCAAATAACTGATATTACTTGATCTAGAAAATCAATAGTGTGCTGTATTATATGATCTCTGTGTCTGTCAAATTCACAGCAAGCTCTGAAACATTGTGCTTATTCCAAACCTAATGAAGCAACTCTGTAATTCAGCACGCTCCATGTCTCAGCTCAAACCTGCCTCTACGGACAGGAAGGTAACTAACTTGACCAGATTCAATATCAGGATGTATTACTAAAAGAAATTGGAGAAATATTGATGACTTACTTTGCACTACACAGATTTTTGTCCAAACAAATGCTCTCCGGAACGACGGACAAGCCCTTTAACAAAACACAAAATACACAAAAGTCTCAAGTTCAAATACCAAAGAAATGTAATTCACTAAGAACCCGAGCACATTCACAATTGTATGTCAGTTGTAGTGAAATTGACAGACGTGGCCTTTCAATATCTCTGGCGTCTGCATTTTTCCCATTTGTCCAAACTGGCTCATTTTTAACTAAGCTCAGGAAATGTCTCTCTTTTTAAAAAGCTTTTTACAGACACTTACGGTGATGTCCTCTCCATCACTTCTGCCAAGGCAGCGTCTCATGGCTCTGTATGTCGCCCATTAAAAATATCATCCATACAGTGATGACTGTGTTTCCAGTAGGAGCTAAACAATCATTTAGTATGAAACTAAATCAAAGACTGCAAAGACACTCCACTGAGATTTCACCTTTTCAGCCAAGATAATAAAGGAATACAAATTATTTGAGGAAACCCAAAATGTTTTTTCTCTTTCTATGAGTGTATAAGTATATCTATAATATTTAATTTGTTTTTAGATTATAGGTAGATCAGCACCATTAGGGCATTTTGCGGCACAAATGCCTACTAACAACAAACAATACAGTGGCTTCTAGCAATAAAAACCACTGTCAGTGTGAACGTGGCTTTACAGCTAATGGTGTTGGAGCTGGAGTTAAATCTGCAGTGTCTCACAGGAATCGGATCAGAGCAGCAGTGGGCAGCAGACGTGGACGATCACAGTTGAAAAATATAAAAGAACAGAGCATGCCATTGTCTCAAGGCCTAACCGGGTTGCCTGAGGACAGCATGGGCCAGACTGCTGTTTTCGAGGTAACAGTGGCCAATGGTAATAACAGCACAATGTCTGGGTATGGGAATGGCGATGCCATTTAAAAAATAATCTTGTTTTGCTAATCTGCATAAAACAATGACTGTTAGACCAAGCAAAAGCCTCTGCCAACTGTTCGTAATGCCTGTGGATATTACAAACATGCCAAAAAAGAGGTAGGGCTGCACGCTTAATCGAAAAACCAAAATCACAAAGGCTGCAATTTAATAAAATAAATATTTGTGCTGTGTGTTTTAGAGTGATTATTATCTAACATCTTTGCATATTAAAAGGAGCATTACATGTGGAACTCTTTCAAAAACTTACTGCATTTTTACTACAACAGTCACCACTTTGTGAGAAAGAATGTCTGTGCATGAGCCCTTAGTGGTAAATCCTAATTTGGCTAGGGCCCAGTCAGCAAATCAGTACTGGACAAACACCTCATTAATATTCATAAGCCAGTCTGATAAGGTTTAAATGCATCTCACACAGTTTCAGATCTCCAACTAAAATCTTGATCCCCAAAACCCATCTATATCCATTCTATGCTGCTCTCTTCATCATCTTTCTTTTAAAATGATCACAGTCTGTCATACTCCTCCTAACTCCGTCCGCTTTTAATCCCTGCCCATCTCTGATTTATCTGTCAAGACCATTTTCAGAATGGCCATTATCTGCTCCATAAATCCACAGTCTCTGAAAGTGTAATTGGAAGCTTGACAAACATAAACTGTGGACTGAAATGGACCACAATATAAAGAGCAGGTGTTGGGAGTTCAGACACCTGGAGATAAACAATGCAATTGCACTAGTTACAAATCTGACAGAAAAACATGGTCCCTTTTAAAGGGATAGATACCAAAATGAAATTTTCATGCATAAAGACTCTTCAAAAAAATTATTTTTGTGTGTTCCTTGCAAAAAAAAAATACAAATAATTGTAACAACATGGAGGTGAAATATTCACAGCCTGAGAGCAGCTTACATATAAAAATGTTGCTACAAGCATTTTTACATAGTGTCAGTCACTGAGTATTACACATGAGATGAGAACTGCCAATCGTCTCTGTGAAATTAATTTGCCACATTTAAATGTGTGCCTATCTTCCAAGTCTATTACTATTAAGTAGAGACTTTTTACATTTAATTTGCTCTACTTCATCATCTTGGGCAGCACTTAGATAGCAGCTCTGCATTGGTGATCCAGACAGCAGGAGAGAGATTGCACCTCAGCAGTGCACTGGCTCATAGCACAGTTTCACACAGGTATGCAAGTTAAAAATTTCCCTCTTGCCTTCTGAAGCACCTATAAACACTGAACCATGAATATTTTACCACTTAAAAACTGAATGATAAGTGAGCAAGTAAAACTGAGCAACTTTTTCTTGCTGCATTTCATCACAAAAATCCCCTGAATTTTATTCACTAACCAATAGCAATCCAGCTTATCCAGACAATGTACTGAAACAGCACAAATACTCCATATAAATTTGGGCTCATTATAAGCTTGCACCTTATTTTCAAAACTTAGCACTGTGTGCCCAGTGCTATTAGCATTAAACTCTTACCAAAACAGAAATTAGGTAAAACCCAAACCTGCATTAAATCCATTATTGAATGCAGTATTACTTTCAATATCATAAACAGTGGTAATTATCTGGGGCATTCACAAAAAAAAGCCTCCAGTGCATTACAAAAGTTAAATAAGAAAATGGCAAATATGAACCCAAGTTGACACTACCGTACAGTTTGTTGTAAGATTTTCAAAAAGTCTGTTATGCTCCCCAAGGTTGCACTGATTTGATAAAAAATACAGTAAAACAGTAATATTGTGAAATATTACAATTTAAAATAACAAAATGTAACATTTAAAATATTATTTTAATATATTTAACAATGTAATTTATTAATGTGATGACAAAGCTGAATTCATAGCAGCTATTACTCTAGTCTTCAGTGTCACGCAATCCTTCAGAAATCATTCTAATTTTTCTGATTTAGTGCTCATGAAACCTTCATTATTAATATCAATTTGGACATGTAGACAATGGTCTAAAACAAAAGAAAAAATAGAGCTTTCTCTGTTTCACTATTGGGAAAAAAAGAGAAAAGCAGTTAAGTTCACCTGTACTAGAAATCACTGCTGATTAGAAAAACTCAGAAGAACTCTGTAATTCTGCAATAACAGGAAATTTCAGACTTTACTCAACAGCAAAACCCTTATTTGGACAGGACTAGTTTTCCCTGAACAGGTCAGATAAATTTGTGTTTCACAGACCAACTTTTAATCCTGTCACACAACCTCGGTAAAAATGATACCTCTAGGTAAAATAACAGTTAAAATACTGTTGGCATCCCATCTGATGTATCGATAATGAAATCCTCCCATTAATTATACACATAAGGTTTTAATTGTCTCACATATATACTTAATGTTTCAGGATGACCTTCTATAATACCCACATCCAAACAGACAATCCTATTCCCACCTAAAAAAAAAACTACAGACAATTGCAAACAGCGTATGAAATCTGAGGCATGTCACTCAAACATCATTTGGAAAAGGAATCCTGCACAAATAGTGCTAGAGCTCCAATATCTGAAAACTCTCAACTTTTTTTTTTAGGAGTACAAGATCGGCCAGAGGGCAATGTTTACACAGATACAGAAGGGGACCAGACTACAACACTTTGTAAGAGGCACTTTCACAAAGACACAAATCCGATCCCTTACTTTCCTGAAGACATAGAACACACACATATACATCAATTTGAAACTGTTTCTCCCTCCACAGCCATGGACTCACCCTGTCAGAACGACCACAAAGTCCATTACGTTCCAGCCGTTGCGTAGGTAAGAGCCTTTGTGAAACACAAAGCCCAAGGCGATGATCTTAATGCCGGCCTCGAAACAGAATATTCCGATAAAGTAGGGCTCTGTGTCGTCCTGCAGGAAGAGAGAGCAAAAAGAAGGATAACTTGTTTTTGTGCGTTTGAAAGAAGAGAGCGCCTATTGATGCATGGAAGAAAGACAGAAAGCAGAATAGCGAATATAGGTTGAAGCTTTTCGCTTTTTTGCACAACACACATAGAATAGGTCAAGATGCATGGATTTGCGCTGTGATGGGGAAGGCAGAGATCTGACATGATGTAAAATCACGCTCTATGTGATTGAAAAGATGTTATTATTAAGCAGACTATCATTATATTATATATTTTCCCCCCAATAATAATATATTTAAAAATTATTCAGATGCTGTTAGTACCAGAACATTACATCTCAGAGGAAAAAAAGTCTCAAAATTCTGAAACCAAGTGAAACTGGAAAAAAATACCAAGTATGTGTCATGGAATCTGTTAGATGAATGTACTTAAAGAGATTCAGTCCTGGCTACAGCATGTCACATTGCTTTTGAACTCATTCCCATTAATGTCACCAGAGCCCTACGGCTCTACAGGCACTTACACCAGACTAACCTCTCCAGTGCTCTGCTCTCAGAAATCCCTCCCACTTTATGAGTGCAATTATCAACCCCACTTGCAAATAAGTCTTCGTATAGCCCTTTTTTGATGGAAACCTTGCCCTAGCAATATAATTCTTTACGACAGCCTTCAATAACAACAGCATGATGCCGTTTTATGATTATAGCTTGGTACAGCAAGGAAAACACTGCAGTGTTAAAGTTCTCTACTTATCTGTAAAAATAACTGTGCCTTCAGTAATGCATTACATAATATTTCATTATCAAACACAAAAATAATTAAACCAACAAAAACTACATTTGTGTTGAACACTCCCTTAAGGTGCCCAAAGTGAAATCACACTCTATTGGTGTATATTTTCTCAATAATAGTTTAATTATCGCTGTGGTGCTAGACAGCACCTGTCGTGTTGTCTCTATGAAATCACTTCGCAAAAATGTGCTCGCGGGAGCAGATGTGAGGCTGTGCGTAACGGATGATTTATGGGAGCGGAGAAATGAGTGAGCGCGGCGGCAGACAGCATATTTCAATCTATTATGTATAGATCCATAGAGTTTATTAATAATGATCATCCTGTCTGTAGTGTTTGGGTATCAGGGGCCCGGTTTAGCTCTGCAACAGGTAGGGAATTGGTTGCATCATAGTGTTAACCAGACAAGCTGTTGATGAATTTGACAGGTTGAGGTTGAACCCTTGCTACAGGGAACAATGAAAATTGCAATAACTCTTCAGTTAAGGACTGTCTCTGTGTTAGGGATGGGGAGTCGACTCCAAAAGAGTCGATTCCTCGACTCTGAATAGCTCTAGAGTCGGAGTCGACTCCATCACTGGAATCGACTCTCGTTGTACGTCGACTCCGAAATCGCTGATGTCTTCACTGATTCTCAAATATGCCTGGTAGTTGAGTGCAGTACATCAGCAAAGAGTAAACGAAATTAAGCGTTTTGCAGTAAATAACCGTTTGCGGTGCAGTCCGTGTGCAGTGCAGAAGCAGCACGGGCTCATTTTGCTGTCACATGTTTATAGTGAGCTATGATCTGCAGCTGTTTACCACCATTATTTTGATTTCAATTACGAACGTTACAATTTTTTTTTTTTTTTATAATCTTTTTACACAGTAATACAATCGTTCAAAGACATACTCACGTTGAAGCGCAATATATTAAAATAAATTCTGTATAGATTTATATGTTATTAAGATGCTTAAGCAAGTGGCAAACGTAAACAGCCTGCAGTCTACTTTTCTTACATTAAAGGGGTCATATGATGTTGCTAAAAAGAACATTATTTTGTGTATTTGGTGAAATGAAATGTGTTTATGCGGTTTAAGGTTAAAAACACATTATTTTCCACATACTGTACATTATTGTTTCTCCTCTATGCCCCGCCTTTCTGAAACATGTGGATTTTTACAAAGCTCATCGGTCTGAAAAGCGCCATACTGTGATGCCCTGTCCGGCCAGAGCGACGGTTCAAAAACATTAAAACCCATTATAAACGAGACATTTGCTGCATCCAGTGGTGACATAATTACTGATTATAATGACTTATACTGTCTTTTTACGCGTTGCGCTGCGTATGGCGCCGCGTAAACATAAAACCATGTCTGCATTTGTGATCGGAGAAATGGCAAACAACAACCGCTACTCTACACTGCTCAAAACTCGCGTTTGAAACATCAGTGGCAAATTCTTTAAATATAAAAAACGTACTTATAGTCTTTGAGTCAGAACAGCCAGCTTTGTAGTCTACTCTACCAGGATCAGGAAACAGTCCTCCATAAAATGCGCTGGACACATCTGAATATTTGGGTTGAACTGTTCTGGAACAGTGTTGTAAATACAACTTAACCACTGATTTCTAGTTGTGTCCTCTTTTGGAAGGCCAAACAAAGTAGTTTCGCTTTCACAACGAAACACACGGCAGGCTAGAGTGAGTGGAGGCCAGCTTGTGAACGGCGCAGCCGGTGGATTCGACGAAGGAGCGTCCGGCGGGCTTGCGGCAACCACATGTGACGACCCCGGGCTGGACTCCGCTTCGTCCATGGTGAAAGCCGATCCGGCGATCCACAGCGCTAAGTCGATGTATTACCTCAGCGACCAGCACCGATCAGCTCCAGGCATGACAAAGCGGATATCGTCCTCTTTTGGAAGGCCAAACAAAGTAGTTTCGCTTTCACAATGAAACACACAGCGCCTTCACGACATGGCGGCGGCGGCGACAACAATACTACAGCGAGAATAAAAGTTATGCCGCCTTTCTTTGCGTGAACATTTGGGCAGCGTTATACAAATCTTCCCACATCGTGACGTAGACATGTGGGGGCGTGTTAGAACATGGCGTTTTAGGTAGGCATGGCTGACTCTTAACTTTTATAAAGAATATCTCTTTGGATTTGAGACTTTAGTCTTTGCAACTTTACAGATCTTCTTTATGCACCAAGAGCTTGTAACACTCCAAAGAGAAATGAAAAACTGAAATCGCATCATATGACCCCTTTAAAAGGTAGTAGGCTATCACAAACAATTTAAATTAAAACTTACCATTGACAGAAACAGCCGTATCGTGCATTTTCTTTTGCATCTTTATTACAATCCTGCTGGTCATAAAGAACTTTGTTTTTCTAACTCCACGAGTGCCATCTGTTGCCATTTTTATACTTTTTCCTTGCTTTACCCCTATAGCTAAAAAGCAGTGTTAAAAAAATAAACTTTAGGCCTACTTAGTTGCATTTATAGTGTATTTAATACATTTTGTATCAATCCATGTTTATTTTTACCGTAAGCAATGCGCTGTCACGTTAATTCAACATGTGCAGCACAGCGAAAATAGACTCGGATGCGGAATCTCTTCGTAAATGATTACTGCGATGATAAACAAACAAGAATAAACAAATCAATATGTTTATATTCTTATGTATTTTTGAATGTATTGCATTTATTTTTAATATCAATGCTGCTTAAGACATACAGCGCCATCCCCTGACCATTATAATGTGACGAATTCATTAAAGACCACCTTATTAATCCTGATATAATATTCCACCACGGCTTTTCCCCCTCAGTTTTCCCTCTGTAAAATTAGGTGTCGGCAACAGCTAACAACATTGGTGATAGCTCATTTAAAGGTAGTGTCACCACCACTAAATTGGACTAATTTGGACAGTCACGCTAAATGGAGTCGAGGAGTCGATTCCATCAGTCGGGAGTCGGAGTCGACTCAGAAAAACTTGGAATCGAACACCCCTACTCTGTCTCAAATCACACACAGGTCCTTAAAGGGGTCATATGATGCGATTTCAATTTTTCCTTTCTCTTTGGAGTGTTACAAGCTCTTGGTGCATAAAGAAGATCTGTAAAGTGGCAAAGACTAAAGTCTCAAATCCAAAGAGATATACTGTAAGTACGTTTTCATATTTAAAGGATTTGCCACTGATGATTCAAATGCGAGTTTTGAGCGGTGTAGAGTAGGGCTTGTTGTTTGTCATTTCTCCGATCACAAATGCTGACATGGTTTTATGTTTATGCGGCGCGATGCAACGCAACGCGTAAAAAGATGGAATAAGTCAATATAATCCATAAATATGTCCCCACTGGATGCAATGAATGCCTCGTTTATAATGGGTTTTAATGTTTTTGAATCATTGCTCCGGCCTGACAGGGCATCATCACAATATGGTAAGGGGCGTAACATTTCAGTCACACGCTTGAGGTATTCGGCCAATCATAATGCACTGGATAGCTGGCCAATCACAGCACACCTTGCTTTTCAGACCGATGAGCTTTGTAAAAATCGACGCGTTTCAGAAAGGCGGGGCATAGAGGAGAAACAATAATGTACAGTATATGGAAAATAATGTTTTTTGAACCTTAAACCGCATAAACACATTTCATTACACCAAATACACAAAATAATCTTTTTAGCAACATCATATGACCCCTTTAAAAGAACAGTTCACCCCAGTATGAATATTCTGTCCTTATTTATTCACCCTTGTAATGTTATTTCAAACCCATATAACTTCCTCACATGGAAATGTGTAAAAATTTCCATGCTGCTCTTTTCCACAGAATTGTTGTGGAAAAACACCTAGAAAGCGGTGATTCATATGCTTTGTGGCCTATATTCCAGGTTTTCTTATGTAATATGCTTTATGGGAAGAACAGACCAAATTTAAGTGAGAATCATCCCCTTCAATGTCATTCCACATATTCTTTTTTTTTTTTTTATATTCCACACACATATGTGCATGTATACATATTTGTATATGAGTTTAGCAAGATTTTTATTTATTTTTTTTTTTTTTAGAAATTAATATTTTTATTCAGAAAGGATGCATTGAACTCATTAAAATGACAGTAAAGACTTTTATATTGATTTCTATTTCAAATAAATGTAGTTTCCCACAAATATTAAGCAGCACAACCATTTTTAACATTGATAATAATAAATGTTTCAAATAAGCATTATTTATTTAGTTAGTTAGTTAGTTAGTTAGAAGGTGAAGGGTGGTCAGTGCCAATAGCCTCGATATATAGCATCGTTGCGCTTCGGACGTCCCAAGTTCAAGTCCCAGCTCAAGGACCTTTCCCAATCCCACCCCCCTCTCTCTCCCAATTTGCTTCCTGTCTAATTACTGTCCTATCATAATAAAGCAAAAATGGCAAAAATAAATCTTAAAAAAGGTGAAGGGTGAAATAAATTTGTCAGGGAAAAAAATAAAAAATAATAAATTCATCATGAAAAAACGCATCATAAACATACTTTTTGTGTTCCATAACCCATAAACCCTGTAAAACTACACAACAAGAATGGAAAGTTGTATTTTTAGCATCAGGGAGTTGTTTTCGAGAGGACCCCATTGACCTTATAGGCACATGCTGTTTTCCTTTCTGTGATTGCAGCGCTCCTCCAGGGAGTGTGGAATCCAACATCACCTCCTGCATATTCAGCTTCACAAAGAGACCATTACCGCCTTAAGCCGCCAACATGTCCGGTTCCTAGTTTAATTGTGCAACAGCACACTTTGAAGCCGCTTCCTTATATCATTTTGACTCAACAGGCACAACTGCCACTGCAAGCGGGGGAATAAGAGCAAGGCAGTGGATCAAAGCTTGCTCTGCATGGGTTAAGGTCGGATCATGGAGAAGCAGCGTTATGCACACATTCATCAATGGTTCCCAGCAGGCAGGGTTTTAATGAGACAGAGACGTGGCTCCTGTGTGGACTGCTTGGGTGGTTCTCAGTGGCCCTGGATGGGAGCTCTGAGAGTGGGATAACAGCCTGCGCTCCAACGGGCTCACCGATCACCCACGCCAACCAGTGCAAGACCGCTAAAATGATCAATCAATATACTCCAGCGGGGATCTCGGGTGTGTGGGCGGAAAGAAAAGCAAGCCAAATACACAGTTATCTCTCACTTGCTCTGCTTTTCACAGAATGCATTGTCATTGCTGGTTCTCTCTCCTGAGAGATATGGTTGCAGTCTTATTCAGTCAAAAATTAATAATCTGATATGTGATAGACATGTGAAACCTTAATAATCAAGAGTGAATGACGAGAAAACATAGAATTCTGATGCTCACCAGGCGTTCAGACATGGGGGTCTTGTCCATGGCGGGGAGATGCTGTTCGAGGGCCAGTACGATGCAGTTGGCGATGATGGTAGTGAGGATCAGGTACTCAAATGGAGTGGAAGAGTCAAGGAAAAACACCGGAATAACAATACAAACAACAAACATAATTTCAAAAACATTCTGAAGAGGAAGACTGTGCAAAAAAAAGTGCATGACATATCAATAGCCCAATGTAAATTTGACCGGAATTGTGCTGATACGTGCTTTAAAATACTGGCTTAAAGGGACAGAGCACCAAAAAAGATCATTATTCACCCTAATGTCATTCCAAACCTGACATTTTAAAAAATATTTTAGTGTTTTTATTCCATGCAACGATAGCGTGCTGCAGTCATGACGTCAAAACCCACAATAATTTACCGTGGGTTTCCTAAAATAGGGTTTTTCAATTCATAAATAAAGTAAGGTCTGTGGTAAACATAACCTGACGATACTTGAACATTTTATTGTACACTGTAAACTGCACACACTCACATCCCAAGCGTTTTTATGTAATTAGTTATATATTTTTAAAAATTCACATTTTTTTAAAACAAACATACATTTTTAAAAACTTAACTTCGTTTTCAGTATGGATTGTGCAATTTACATTGTAGAGCAAAACATTCAAGTATCGTCAATTTATATATCAGACCTGGTTTTACTCATGAACTGAAAAAACCCCATTATAAAAACCCATCTGAAAATTTCGAGGGAACCCATGGCAAATTAGTCTTTCCAGTTTTGACATCATATCAGCATCACTCTATGGGGTCATACAGTATGTTGTTCGTCGACTTTCTAAATATCATCTTTTGTGCAATATCAGCTTTTAGTTGCTCATCAAACCAACTAGCAGTAATGCTGACTGCATTTACACCACCTCACTCTATGCTGGAAATAACATGCAGAGGTCTGGGCATAAAAGTGAGACATGCTCTCCAGACTGGAACATTGCAGTGCAGAGATCATGATTACCCATTAGACTGGCACGATGCTTTCTCTCTCAGCACAGCCATTTGTGCAACCTTATTGCATCTGTGAAATGTTTGTGTAAGCCCACCAATATTGTCATTATTAAAATCTTTTTCATCCTTTTTAAAGGAAACACTGAAAGGCTGCTAACATCTTTATAGATGGTCAGCCATTATAGTGCATTCTTAGGACAGGATCCATTTTTCCAATTTCATTTTCCATGCCTGTTCCCTACAGCTATAGGTCTTTATGCAATCGCTATTCATGGAGGCAACGAATTGGAAAGGAAAGGTCCAATGGCCACTTCAATCACATTCTTGTCACCCCCTTGAGGGATCTCCACATGCTATAGAAACCTAATTCTATGAATGCCTGAATTCCATAAAGATGCATTTTAAATGGACTGTACAACAAACTAGACGAAATTATCAAAAATAAAGGCTGCACAGTGCTTTAAAATTCTAGTAAATGTTGGTAACTGAAACATCATTGGTGAGATTTCAGGACCCTGGAGAGCGCTACAGCTTTTCACAACCATTGTGTTATAAAATGAAAAATTACCTGGGTTCATACATTCGTTCTTGAAGAACCATTTGCTAATGAATATACTAATGGTGAATATGCTAATAAACTAAAAAAAAATTTGCAGAACTGTTATTATTATTATTATTACTACTACTACCCCACTAGTAATAGTAGGCTAACGTTAGTTAGTAGTGAAGGCAACTGTTTTACATTGCCATTACTGCTGCCGCCAAAACATTTCGAAAACAACGTAACCGTTAGTATTTGCCCATTTATAAGGCCAATAACACTGGAAAAATACAACACACGACCTGCAACTGCTTGTCAGTCTTTGTAAACGTACAACCGCTCTGAAACACAGCAAACACAGTAGTGAATCTTCATCGTTTGACGTTTTAACCGGTTAGATACTGAAACTAACAGCGCTTGAAAGTTTCTGTGACTAAACAAAATACATGAATATTCAATGAGGAAGCGCTGTGCCAATTTATGATTGGTTGTCTGTTGCTAATCAATTAGCCGTAACGTTCTTACGCCGCTTGTTTCACACTGTGTACATACATTTGGCGGTGCCAAACCCCTTTTAAAACGTTGCTTACCCGATGGTTAAAACTAGTCTGTAAGCCAGGTTTAAAAAAGAAGAAGAAAAAACCTTAGCCCAGGGTTAAGTGCAGTATGAAAAGCCCTATCGAGCGCTTGACTTTCCCACTTTTGAATTAGAAAATAAAAGGCTACACCCTGCCAACAGCCACCCTGACACGACCACCAGCTGCCAAATGCCTTAAAGTGCGTGAACAGGTGAAAACAAAAGGCATTTCAGTGTCAATCACCATTTCGGCACGCAACAGTTCATTTGACATAGCCAGATCTAAAAGCGTGTATTTATATGCTTTCTAAACAAGAATGAGATCATATGTAGAAGTGGAGATGCCATGAATCTATATCCATTTTGCATAAATCTTGAGGATTAAGGATATGGCCATTCGGTTATTCTTTTGGCGTATTTTCTGAAGACATTGTCCTCACTGAAGATGAACAAAGAGCGGTTGACAGTGAAGCAGTTCTGTTTGGTTTGTTTAGGATTATATAAAGCCATTGTCCTGGCTCTCTGAGCCATCGACTGTTTGTACATTCTTTGACCGCCCGAGGGACCTCCTGCCCGGGCTCCCCCTCTCCCGGCGCCCGCTGGACCTCCATAGCGGGTGGGCAGATCGTCTCCAAAGCGAGCCATCCTAGAGATGCAGATATCCAACAGGTAAAATCCAAACTGGCATTAAACAGATGATGAAGAGTGCACATTACAGTACAGACATCTGTTACCACTTAAGAGTCCCCATCAGTCTATGTGAAGTGAAATAAAAATATAAAAGTCCCTTTTAACCAGCTCCCCGTGCGCCCTCGCCTCACTCCATTGCTCAGACAATTGCACAAAATAGAAACTTGTCATAGAAATGTCATTCCCGTTGAGTGCATTTCAAACAAAGGAAAATGTGTAACCATCCAATTCGTGCCACATCCATCCAACAACACAACCTGATCCAGCTGACAGGTCACGAAACCAAAATGTGCACCATCACTTACGCATCACGCTAGACGGAAAAAGCGAGTTGGTGGAATCAAAAGCGCGAATTAAGGTATTCCATATACACGCGCAAACGCTTGTTCTCTTTAGCAATGATTTGCTTTCCGCTTCCACACAACAATTGCACTTGGAGACGCGCACGGTACGAATGGTGCCAAATGAGTGGACGCTGGTGCTCGAGACTCTCACACGTGACGCAAACGGCCCTATAGGCAGGACCACCTGCTGGAGAGCACGTGAGGGGGAGGGTGTCTTAATTGATCATCAATGAATGATATTTATTTAAAACTGTTTGTCGTGTTGTTTGAATAGCGTCCATTTGACTAGAATGAAGTAAAAGCGCCAAGCAAAAGCTCTTCATTGTTACTAAATTTGAATCCTAAAAGATTTTTTGAATTGTTTACAATAGCACATAAAAAGCTACAATAAGTGGCATCATTACACAAAAGCATAAGCGATTTGTTGGTTGCCTATTGTTGTCAGTCAGTAAATTATCAAGCTGCATTGTGTGCCTTTGTTTAGTTATTGTAATGCATAATATTCTCGGTCGCATATACACATTTTCATAGTTTTGAAGGTTAAGGGGAAAAATGAATAAGACATATTCAAGATAAGCAAATTTGATATTAATCACAACTACAGGGTCACATTTTGAAATATGCTCCTTGTATCAGTTTCAAATCATGTTGTATCATACATCATTATGCAATAAGACATATATTTATATTATTATTATATATTAGATACACTATTTTTTGGTGTTGTTTTTATATTTAGCTAATTGTATTGAAACCTTTTTAAGTTTAGTTTTAAATCTTAATTAAAACATTACAGTTAGAATTACAATGAATTAAAACCTTAAATTAGCTGATCTTTATATTTGGTCTCCACATAGGCAAAACGTGACTCCACCCAGGGCATCTCCACCTCTCCAAAGAAGGAAAGATTCTTGAAAGAAAAGTATCCAGCATGTCCAGATGTGACGCTCAAGGCATTACGGTCAGTAAGTGTGAAGGATTTTCTGTGTGCATGCAGCCAGTCCAAACCCAGAGGCACAAAATCTCATGACAGACTCCAGGCTGTTGAGCTAATCTCTGGATGTGCGGCATACCAGAGCTCCATCCTACAACACCCTAGGGTACTGCAGTGGAAAGGATTCAAGACATGCACACACACGCTGCCAAGTGTTAGATACTGTACAAGGGAAATCAGTTTTCAATCGCAGGACTGTTCTTGGATCTCTGTATCTTTCAAGAATATTTTCTTGTTGACATGATAACATCAGCATTGTGATTTTCTCCTTTTTACAAAAATTATTTGGACACTTAATCCATATTTTACGGTAACACTTTAGTATAGGAACCAGTTCTCACTTTTAAACTTTTGCTTATTAGCATGTCTATTAACATATTTGCTATTTATTAGTACTTATAAAGCACATATTCTGCATGACCATATTCCACATCTCTAATTCTACCCAACACCTGAACTTAACAACTACCTTATATATATATATATATATATATATATATATATACACACACACACACACCAAAGTTATGCTCACCACAGTTGCATGTATTTGATCAAAATAGAGTAAAAACATTAATATTGTGAAATATTATATACCAATTTAAATGTTTTAAAATGCAATTTCTTCTTTTGATGACAAAGCTTAATTTTTAAGCAGCCATTACTCCAGTCTTCAGTGTCACATGATCCTTCAGAAATCATGCTGATTTGATTCTTATGAAACATTTTTTTTTATGATTAACAACGTTGAAAACAGTTGTGCTGCTTAATATTTTTGTGGACACCGCAATACACTACCTTTCAAATGTTTGAGGTAAATAAGATTTGGGGGAGGATTTGAATTTATTCAGCAAGGATACATTAAATTGATCAAAAGTGACAGTAAAGACTTTTTTTAATTTTACAAAAGAATTTCATTTCAAATAAATCTTGTTAATTGACAGTTTTATTCTATAAAAAAAAAACATAAAAAAAAAAATCAGTTCCCACAAAAATATTGAGCAGCAAAAACCTTTTTGAACATTAAAAATAGTAATTACTATTAATAATTAAACTAGTAATAAGCAATAATAATTGAGCATCAATTTAGCATATTACAATTAAATAAATTAAAAGCAATTTACAGTACAAATGAATAAAAATGTTAGTCCTAAAAAAACTTTTTTTCTTATTACATGAGGTTCAGTATTTCATCTTGCATAATTCAGTTCATTCCGGATATGTTTAAGTGTCCAAATACTTTTTAAGGCCAGTAGTTTACATATATTTCTCCTGTTGAACCTTTATGCCCCCTAGTGGCTAATAGAATGAATAAAAAATGATCAATTGTAATTTTGTGTGTAAAGCACTCACTATTGACCTTTAACAGCATTGAGCTTTAAATTTACAGCAGACCATGATAAAGTAGTTAATAACCCTCAGTGTGGGTTACATTTCAAATGACTTTCATTCCCTGCTGCTCACCTCTCCTTCCATGGTGCTACCTGCTCTTGACACATTTCATGGGTGCTGATGATATCGGTGTTCCTCAGGTCTCTGGGCCTCACCAGCTCTACCACGGTGTCATATTTGCTACATTCTGCAGTGTTCTGGTCATCTCCGGCTGCTTGGCTCTCTTTGCTGGATAGTTCTGTAAAAGCGGCTCTTCTGTTCCTCTGATTGTCAGGTGGCTCAGAAGACTGAGCCCAGGAACTGAACTCTGTGCCCAGAGTTAACATCCGCCATGTTCCAAGTGTGGCCAATCGGGCGGCTTTATTTTTTTTAAATGAGAGATGATAAACAGACTGACTCAAAGAAATCATACACATTACAGGGAAATTAAAGGAGTGAGACAAGTGCATGCTTGGTATAGGGCCAATTTTAAAGGACTTGTATTGGACCTGTATTGTACATTCCATTTTTAGGCTATATAATTCTTACAAATGTAATAATTCTTACAAAATTAATGTTTAGGATCTATAAGCATTTCTTAATAAATCTTATTACCACGATGAAAATAAATAAACATATAGATAAATAAACAAATAAATATTTAAATATAACTTATTATTTATAATAAGTTGCTGTTTGTATTTATACATTGATTTAAATACAAAAATGTATTTTTTCATTGTATGCAGTAATTCTTTAGTAATAAAAAATAAATTATTGTTATTAATAACATTGAGAAAAATAGGAATGAAAAAAAAAGGCATGTTCCTTATTATTGTTATCAAAGTAAATATCACTAAGCAAAAAATCTTTTTTGTTGTTGTTTTTAGAATTTGGGGTGAAATTTATGCAAGCCTGTTTCGCCACAGGATGAAAATTAGCACATTTCAGACTTTTCTTCTCATAATTATGAGGTTATATCTCAATTCAGAAAGTTTATCCTCAGAATTGAGACTATAAATGCAGAATAATTGAGAGATAGAAAGTCACAATTACTTTTTTAATTGTTTATCCTTTTTGTGAGATGCAAACCAAGAATTAAGAGAAAATAGCCAGAATAGAATTTGAAATTTTGAGGTGTAAACTCTAATATTGTGGGATGTAAACTCTGAATTGCAAGTAAAAAAAGTCAGAATTGTGATAAAAAAGGTTGGAATTACCTTTTTTATTTATTCTGTTATCCCGTTGCGGAAACAAGCTTCCATAGTAATGCAACATGGACATGTTTTTGTGAGATTCGCCCACAAAAAGACATTCGGTCTCAGCTCATCATTTAATGTCACTAAACCTAAATGCCACTAAAGCAAGTTATTTACATCATCATCTATCATTAAAATAAGTGAAGAGTTCACTGTGATAGAGATGAATAACAATCCACAACCCAGTTAATGACACAGCAACCTCGAAAGACAAACCCAAAGAAAATCCTACCATAGATAACAGTGGATTTTCTCTCCTTCCAGTCCGAGTTACGCCGTGCTGATCTCATCATGGCCCAGTCTACTTGTTAACCTTGTGCAGCTCTAGGAATTTTCACGATCCGGTTTCTCAGCCGTAACGCAGTGTATCCACAATGCGTGATCCTCATAACCGTGCTGACCGCTGTAAGAGTGAGACATACTCAGGTTTTAAAGTTTGCAGCTGTGGAATGCGGAAAGGCGCATGTTTCCTGTCTCATTAGTTAAAAGCCTTTATCGCCAAGTCAGAGGGCCTCAATCATCAGCTCACAGTTCATTAGATCAATTACAACCAAGTAACTCAAGTAATCAGGAAGAGAGTAATCAAAGTTTATAAAACTAAAAAAAAAAAAAAAACACTTTTTGATAAATAATCAAAAGGCTTCCTGCTTTGCATCACAAAACTCCTTTGGTCTCATTTGTGGCCACATGGGTTTAAAGTGTAAAAAAAAAAAAAAAAGTGACTTATCTGCTTCCTCAAAAAAGTGTTATGGGATGATGTTCATGTCAGATTTGCATCGTACTTGATGTTATTTTTGCATAATAGTGACAGAGATGTTTCTCTTTTATTAGTAGTAAATTTATTGAAAATGAAAAACACAACCAGTAAGATTGTGCATCATGTTTCACTGTCCAGAAATATGTTACAGTTTTCTTCCACCCACCCCCTCAGTTTGCAGTGTTTTGTATCTCTATGTCTGGATTTGCACAAAGGACATGACTACACTATCAACACTTAAAAAGACTGTAATAGTTTCACCATCAACATGAACTTATGGAACAAAATTGATACAGGCTATCTATGTCAAACTACAGTTAGAAAAAACAGAGGCCAATTTAAAAATACAAATGAAAAAAAAAAATGAAACACTTGCTTCTTCATCGTTTTTTACAACGTGTATTCACTTAGTGAGTAATAAAAAAATAAACATAACAAAAACCTTTTTCAGCACCATTTGCGTTTTCCTACACCCGACCCGCATTTCATTCCACCAGAGCGAAACGTTCCAGTCCTATTCCTAGAGCACGGGTCTCAAAAGCATGCTAATAGGTTCCATCATTGTGACCGAAAGTACATACAGAAATATTTTACAGTTTTCATTTGCATTGATGGGGGTGCAAGTAATATGCATTTAACAACCGCCGTGTCTATCCAGGCCTGTAACATGCAGGAAATAACCCATAGGGCTTGTTTTTAGACTCGTCCAGGGTTAA